TCTTAGGCCCTTCTTGGCTCCTCTTGGGCCGTCCTTGGGGGCATTTGTGGGACTCTGGCTATTCCTGGCCCACTGAGTGTCACAAGACAGTGTGTGCATGTCCCGATCGTTTCTTGCTATGCTCATGCCTGATGCTACTCCCTTCCGATTGCTCCTGGCCTGGCCCCAGGACCTCAGGATGGAGACAAGTGGCGAGGTCTGGCCCGCGCAGAGCAAGAAACGCAAACGGTGACCGGTTGCTCGGCGAACTGAAGCCCTGGATACCCCCCCGGTGTGCGGTGCGATACAGCCAGACTCAGGACAGAAGAGCATCCTTCAAGAACACGAGACCATCCGCCAGTCAAACTGAAGAACACTCCAGGGCATTCGCCCCCAGGATGCACAAGAACATTCAACAAGTACGAAGAGCATTCGGTTAGGAAGCAACTACTGGGAGGTTTTCGTCGGAAATATGAAAGATAATTAAGCCCCATTTGGGAGCTGTTACGCCGGAGCGGGCCTCGGATTAAGCGGGATTAAGCCCGATTAAGCGGGATTAAACGCGGATCAAACGGGATTAAGCTGGACTTCGGACCAGGGCAAACTCAGAATTTAACCTCCCAGGAGTTGCACCCGGAATTCAGATACCCTCCCCGAACCGACCTCGACATTATACCTCGGTCCGATCGCAGGCCAGGCCAGGACCGCTCCTACTGGGGCTCGGGAGGAAGGCGTGAAGAACAAGCGGTGTTTCTTGGTCGTGCCCTCGCGTCGCATTCTCGCGCCTCCGCGCATCCGCGAGGAGTGGGCAGGAGGATCAGTGGAGGATCCCCAGCCCCAAGGGAATCAGGCGGGAAAGCGAGGATGGAGAAAAGGCAGGATGATGGAGGAGGAGGAGGAGAAGGAAAAGGAGCGAGATCCCCAAACCCACTCCTGTGACTCCTGTGGAACATGTTCTGGAGAAGGGGCTCGGGACGGGAGAGCGCTCTCTGATAGCATCAGTGACGTGTGCTGGGCTCTCTCTCTCTCTGTCTCTCGCTCTTTATCTGAGATTATCCTCCTTCTGCTGCTCCTTCTGGCTCCGCACCTGCGGGTACGCTTGCGGCGATCTCCGTTGTTAGGGAAATGGTGTTGCACGATTGCCCGCGCTTTGATGCCAAACCGTATCGCACACACGCATGAGAACCGGACCGTATTCGGCTTATACGCTGAACAATATGTCATGGGTTGATCGGTAGCGGGGCCAACCTAAGCGAGGGTCCTGCTCCTATCCACTCTGATGTGAGCAGCGGCCGCACGTAACTTTGCCCTGCGGAGCTGCCACGAAAGAGAGACGACAACAAAAAGGCCCGCAACCACCGATGGAATGGCCGGAGTGGGCTGGCAACCTCACGGCACGCGAACCGCAGCCCATCCCTGGCATTCCTCGTGCACTCTCCCCCCGGGGCTCGACCGAGACAGTGTCTTTCGTTGTCGTTTTGTTTGCATCTTCCCTTGTTTTATCTTCGTTTCGCCTTCGCTGCAAAACGAAGTCACAACGAAACGGGCCACGAAATCGCCAAAACACCGTTGAGGTCGAGCCCTGCTCTCCCCCGCCCCTCGCCACAGGGGCGCTACGCGGCCTCAAGGCTCGCTCTACTCTGGCTCCTCGCCCTTGCAGCCCTTGTGGAAGTTCTTGCAGCAGTAGCTGATCCTCTGCGGGGACCACGACAACTCCAGGCAGTGCATGCAGTGGTGGTACCTGGCGTCGCAGTCGCACACGTTGTTGTCCGGGGCAGGAGGCAGGCCCGAGGGCGGCTTTGACTGCACTTAGCTCGTTGCAAGTAGCTTGAGCGGGGCGGCCGCAGGTCGGCTAGGCGGCAGACAGAGCCCGCCTAGCGGGCACTACAAAGGATCTCCGCTCCTGGTCCGTCCGCAAGCAAAAGCGATTCTTCGCCATTGGACCTGCATGTTGGGCGGGGGTGGTATTGGCACCGAAGGGGAGGGAGGGGGAATATATGAGGAAGAGAAGGGATCGGTGCCGTGCGAGAGTCACTAAGCGCGCCAGCTAGGCGTTGCCCTATGCGGGCAGCGCTGAAAGACCGAAGAGCAGCACAGCTGGCCTCAGGAACGGCCACCTGGGAGCATGGCTTAGCCATGGATATGAGCGGGATGAGTAGGATGAGAGCCAAAATGGCAGTGCCGCGCTGTAGGGCGGCAGTGTCGGAGCGGACCAGGAGGGAGAGGCTGGCATTGCCGCCTAGAGACCTAGGAAGCCCCATCGGAAACGCACGTGACCGGTAAGGGGGGCAGGTAAGATAATGCCTGTGCTGTACTTGGCTTCTTAGTGTTAGCGGGATTCGCCGACACGTGGTAAGAGGAGGAGGGAGGAACTCTTGGGGGGGTGAAGGAGTATCTTGCACAGCCAAGAAGCACTAAGGCGAGGTAGCTGTCCGCAGCAGGTGCGCACCTCTGACGGGCAGCATTAGCCGAGAGATACTCGGCAGGAGGGAGGGGGGGTTCCCCGGAGGATGCTCTGCCAAGGAGCTGCCGTGAGCGGAAAAGGCCATTTGCGCCGAAGACGGCCGCATGGAGACCAGCTATATGCCAAGACGGTGCAACGTATGACATAACATTGCATTGAAAAATGCGTTGCTAGCATTGTCTGGCCGGCCGTGCCGAGGAAGAGGGAGGAATCGAGTAAACTGTCATGGCATTGTCTGTAGGACCACTCTGCGGACGATGACTGGTAGCGCCTGCGGCTTCGTCGAGACCTGCAAACTTGAGGCGGAGTGCCGCTGAGACAAGTGCGTGACAGGTGCATGCGCACTGCGCCGAGTCGGAAGCCACAGGGCTGCTGAAAACTGTCTACGGTCGCTGTCCAAAAATCCCGACGCCGAATGTGGTGTGGTCCCTCGGCCTGGTGCGAGAATGACCCTGGACATGGAGCGTACTGCACGGCACGTAATACGTAATGCGCGAGGAAAGGACCAGGAGGAGGGAGTGCCAAGGGGCAAAAAAGAGGATCGAAGAGATGCACTGAGTGGGCTTTCAGTGTCAACCGTCAACGTATATCGGCTTGTGCGCGTAAAGCGGCTGAGCCACGCAGTGTAAGTCGTAAGAGTGCTGCGACCTAGCATCGGGCATTGGCTTGGCCTTACCAGAGGCCTTCGCGCTCTGGGCGGCCTCGGCCGAGCGTCCTAGCACTGTTGCGAGCTGTGCTGTTCCCGGCGGCCCTCGCTGTCGGGCGGACGCAAATGCAAAGTGTGGCATGCCGCTCAATGGCAAAAGCGCTTATAGGACGATGACCGTACCCTAGATCCAAAACTGGACATGTGATGCCGATAAGGCAGGCGGCGAGAGGCGCTCGAGCGTGAGCAGAGAGCAAAGAGCAGAGAGCTGTGCATGGGATGCACATGCCTGTGCCGCGTTTGTGTGACGCTTGTCCATGCGAGCACCTGGCCATTGAAGGGTGAAACACGGGACGAACCAAGGCGGAGGAGGAGGATGGACAGGTGAACGAATATTGTAGACAAAAGCGCATATACAGGTGCACAGGAGGAAAGAAGGGAGAGAGAGGCACGGCGTGAGCACGGCGTCATCGCATCGCGCCGACCCCGACGGGCAAGCGACCCAGCGGTAGCCGGCTTTTGGGCCAGAATACTAAAGCCGCCTCGAGCGGAGAGCCCTCAGGGCTGGGTGCACTAGGCCGTGGGACTCGAGGGGCGCCGATGCTAGCTCTTGTTCGCTGCGGCCGGCTGCCTCGGGCCGGTGGGCTACGTGCTTACGCGGGCGCAGTGTGAGACGACTCACGTCTGTGCTGCCTCTGAGTCTTCAGCATCAGAGGGCGGAGGAAGATCCCAATAGGGGCGCCCCAGAGGCAACGAAGGAGCGGTTGCGGTAGCCATCCGTGCGGCAGCCGCCGCGTCCAGTGCCGCTCGCGCAGGAGTGCTAGTGAAAAAAGGCCGGGGACTGCCAGGTCGTGGCGGTCTCAGAGCCGTGGGGCACGGCTGTGGCGCCCCGGACATTGAGACCGCCTGCGCCCTCGGAGAGGCTGCTGAAAACCTGTGCGTGGCTGAGGGCTGCGTGGAGGCCCTAGGCTGCTGCACGGTCGTCGGCGTATGCGCTGGCACTGCTGGCGTATGTACCGGCACAGGTACTGGCACTGGTAATGGCTGAGGCACTGCTGGCGTATGTACTGGCACTGCTGGAGCTGGGGCTGCTGGCGTATGTACTGGCACTGCTGGCATTGGGATTGCTGACATTTGTACTGGCACTGCTGGCATACGCACTGCTGGCGTATGTACTGGCACTGCTGGCGAATGCGGAATTGGCACTGCTGGTATTGGTACTGGCTCAGGTACTGGCACAGGTACTGGCACTGGTACTGGCTCAGGTACCGGCGCTGGTACTGGTGAGGCGGCGCGCGCTACGGGGGCAGGCTGCGGTGCCCGCTCGGCTGCGGCCGTGGACAGAAGAGCCGCATGAAGCGCGCCTCCCAGCCGGGAGCTGCACGAGCCGCGATGCGCCAGCGCGTCGAAGGCCCGCAGCAGGCCCTGCACCGCTCGCGCGTCGGCGCGGCGGTACTGCTCACGCCGGGCCGCGGCACTGCGGGGGGGCCTGCGACGGGGCCGGGCCGCCCGCTCGGGGGAATCCATGGCGCGCCCGCTGAGAGGGGCAGGGGGGGGAAAGGAGGAAGCGGCTCGGGGGGGCGCCCGTGGCGCTGGCTGGCAGAGCAGATGCTCGGGCCAGCTTGCGCTAAAGAGAGGAGGGCGGCAAGCCGGAGGGGGGGCGGCAGTTCCGAGGGGCAACCCCGCTGAGCCGTCTTGCAGCAGTACAGCTTCTTCTCGCCAGACCAGCCGCGCACCCACTACAGCGGGTCGAGGTTGTTGTAGCCTGCGTTGCAGTCGATGGGGCTGCACCTGTTGATGTCGAAGCAGTGCCGTCGATGTGACAAGGCTCCGGTGCGGCCAGAGATGGCCGCCCTTCGTGCTCAGCCGCGAGGCCGGGCTGCCCGGGGCGGTCGCCCGTCGTCGTCGTACCTGTGGTCCCTGATGACGCGGTCGACGAAAACAGACCACTCCACGAGCTGCCGGTCGACCTCTTTCCTGTCGCCCAACGCCGTCGGCCACAGAAGCCGGCGTTGCAAACCATCATGGGGTCGCTGGCGCGGACGGTGCCGGAAGCGGCTGCTCCCGTACTTCCAGGCTACGTGTTCCCAGGTGCCCATCTCGACAGTGCACCGCGGACACCGGCCGAGAACCAGGTCGCCCCTGTGGTAGTGTGCTGGGCTCACCACCGCGCCGGCGAAGACTCTCGCAGCTGCTGGCATCTCTTCCACAAGCTTGAGCATGCGCTTGTACCTGCGCGGATCGTACTCGGCGTCGTCGCACGCCACCGTAGCCCGCCGGCTCCCTTTCATGAGCTCCTGGAAGTTGGAGAAACGCCAGGCTTCCCGAAGCAGGTGCGCCACCTGTCCCGGCTCTCGCCACTCAGGGTGGTCTCGCCGGAGCGTGATGGTCTTCTCTGTTCCCTGGTGGTTCCACACCCACTCGTCCACGCACCGCCAGCCTGTCCACGCCAAGTGCTTTCTCAGGATGCCTGACCAGCCCGTGGTCTCCTTCCACGGCAGCTCCCCTGTGGTGTCGTTCCCTGCCAGGCCCTTATCAATGGCGCGAACAACTCCAAGAATGGTCTCGCGCTGGCGCCCGTACCGCACGTCAGAGCGATGTCCCAAAATCAACAACTTCAAGGGCCGCGGCGCGTGAATCGGAAAATCGATAGCTCTGTGCTCGCGGCTTTGAATCTGATTGGTGGTCTGGATGTTCGGCGCGTCGCAAACCCAGCCGTACTGAGCAGAAGCGAGAGGCCCGGCTTCCACCGCCTGCTTCCTTTCTCTCGGCGGGAGTGGCAGAAGTGCTGCCTTGGCCGTCTGCTGGGAGGCCTTGTCGAGCCTCTTTACCTCCTTGCGGCACTTCTTCCTCCTTTTCCCTCCCGTGATCTTCGCGCCCAACACCTCCAGCTTGTCCGCCACGGTGTCTGGCGAGACATGCTTCTGAAGATTCCGGCGGCCAGCAGGGTCTCGGTGGCTCCACTGCTCCTTCAGGGCGTTCCCCTTGAACCCCAGAGCAGCGCTCCAGGCTCGCCAAAGCTGCGCCGCGGCCAGGAGGTCCTCCAGGCGGCGCGCTGTCCACGTCCTGTCGTCGACGAAGACGGTGGTGGTGACGTTGGGCGCCCTCTACTCCAGCTCCCGCAGCGGCCCGGCGAGCAGACATGTGAGCGCCAGCGGGCTCCACGGATCCCCCTGGGCCCAGCACTTCCTGCGCCTGCGGGTGCGTGATCCCGGCGAGTTGCATGTAGCGCTCCTGGTTTTCCCATTGCTGGGTCAGCGTCGCCACGATGGCCTTCGGCATGACCGCCTGCTGCAGCGCGACCGCGGCGCACGCGGGCTGCACTGTGTCGAAGCAGAGAGAAAAATCCCAAGATGTGGCGTATTCGCCCTGTTCCATTGCAACGATAATAATACTTTGGACGAAGCGCCCCTTTTGGCGCCGAAGGCACGCTCTGGCCACCACCGCCGCTGCCATTGCCTGCTGGCCGCGCTGTGGAGCGGGCTCCCTGCCCACAGCCGATGCCAGCAGCTGCTCGCCGAGATGGGTCGGACAGCTTCGGCCGGCAGTGCCTTGCCCTCGGCCGCGCCTTCTTTGAGCAAATGCGCTTGGCGCACTCTCTGCCACCCAGATGGGAGGGCGGCCACTGTCTCGCAGAGATTGAAGAACTCAGCGACAGCCCCTGTGGCAAAGATCGCGTCCGCCACCCCCTCGCCGGTCCACCCGTCAGGGCCTGCGCTGCTTCCACGGATCTTGTCCTGTGCAGTCCGCGCGTCTTCCTGCTCGAGCGGCGCCCGCACCTCCTCCTGGCGCCGCGGGCCCCACTCCGCCACCTTGGCTCGCCATGCCGCTTCGGGAGGCAGCTCCCGGCCCCACACCTTGCGCCAGCGGCTGATCAGAAATCCGAGCGTGTCCGGCATGGACTGCGCCGGCGCCTCCTCCCTGTCCTGCTCGTAGATCATGGTGTCTGGCGGGATGTGCCCCCGGAGCCAGCTGTGGGCCTTCCGGCGGGATGTCCTGAGGCTTTCCCGCCACCTCGCGAGCCTCTGCTCCTTGGCCCGGTCCCTCTCAGAGCGCAGCAGGCCCTCGAGCTCCACGATTTTGTCCTGCACAGCGTGGATCTGAGCCAAGGCGGTGTCCCCGGTCTGCTCGAGGTACCGCTTCGCCCTCTCTCGGAGTCGCCTTGCCTCTGCCTCCCTGCCGGCGCCGCGCTGTTGCAGGTAGCCGAGGCGCCGTAGCCGAACGAGGGCGTTGGCGAGCTGGCGCTCCCGGAAGGTGGCTTCCAGGCAGCTCGCGGCGCGTCCGTGCCGCACCCGCTCGAGCCGGACCTTGTTTTTCTTTAGTTTTTTGCAACCGTCCGAACCGGCTCTCTCCGGGTCCTCAGCGGCGCAATCCCACTCTGTGTCTGTGAGCATGGCACGAGCTTGGGCCATGCAGGTCTCCATGGCGTGGCTGAGTTCCGCCCACTTCTGGTCAACCAGGCGGCGGGCCTCGCAAGACCTTGGTTCGACGCCATCTGCGGCCGCATTCATGCCGCTTTGCACGTGGTAATAACCTTGCGTGTTGTCCCACAGCTTGCTCGTGATGTCCACCCGCTCTTCCTTGCTCGAGGCCGGCGGCATGGCGACCCCGCGGTGCTTCGCCAAGCACCACTCCTCGACCTCCTCGCCCTCCATGCGGAAGTCGACAAGCATCTGCACGACGATGTGGTCGCTGATCGCGTCCTCGATCAGCTCGTGGCCCGCGACTGTCATGGCCCAGCTCACCCCGTAGTCGATGCACCGGTGGCCCCTCCAGCGTGTAGGGAGGTAGTCGCCGCTCTTATCCTTGACCGCTTCAATGCAGCACCAGGCGCGCGGGGCCAGCACCTGCGTTGGCAACTGGTTCCAATCCCCGATGGCCATCCAGGACGTCAGCCTGTCGACCTGCACAACGTTACTGATTTCCCTCATGATGGCCCCCTCGTCGACGCCGGGGACCACGTACGTGTTGAACACCACCACGCCCTCCACAACCGTCGCCAGGATCTGCCCTTCGGGCCCTCCCCGGCCCCACAATTGTTGGGGGCGAAGCTTCCTGCTGACAATGGTCACTACGCCGTGGATCTGCCGCGTGGCGCCCTCCGCCACATTGCCACCCTGGTGGTGCGCCCTGTAGCCGTGCTTGAACATGGATTTCCTGAAGCTCTTGGAGTCTTTCTCAGACAGTGAGGCTTCCTGGAAGCGCGCTACCTCCACATTCCGCTCAGCTGCCAGCCGGGCGGCCTTCCAAAGTCCAGTGTCGGAGCCAACGTTGACAGTCCAGACGGGGCGTCGCGCGGTTACACCGCCCGGCGCACCACCAGTTTTCCTCTCCGCGTCCAGCCGTGGCGACGAAGCTCCGCCAGGAGCACCAGTTTTCCGATCCGCGTCCAGCCGCGGCGACGACGGGGGCCCCCGAGGGCCCGAAAAAAACGATTGCCGCTGGCTTCGTCGCGCCGGCCTCCCCTCCTTGCTCCCTCCGCGGGGCAGGGGCCCGTCGGAAGGGAGGGGGGCCGGCTCCGCCTGTCAAGAGGAGGCGGACGCTGTCGCTTGCGTCTGCGTCAGGGAGCCGTTGGGCAGGTAGCTCCTGCCAGCCGCCCGTTGCCTCCTTCTCCACTCTGTCGCGGTTTGCCACTTCACCCCATGCTCCGCCTCCCGGTGGGCGCGCCGAGCCTTGTCGATGATGGACCGAGAGTTGTCGCTCTGGAAGGGGAGGCTCTTTCCGCAGTCCTGGCACGCCCACGCCATCTTCGGCAGCGGCCCCATGGGGAGCTGCAAGGCTTCACGCCACTCCTCGTCGCTCAGGGCCTTGAGGGTGGGCAGCGTCCCGTTCTTCTTGATGAAGAAGCTGCGCGGCTTGTCCGGGTGTTCCCGGTCCACGTGCCTGTTCCGCCTGTAATACAGCATATTCGGCGTTTTCGCCGACGTGCGCCAATCTGGGCAGATTGGACAGCGCCACTCGGTGGTCTTTGGGCGCGCCCTGTACTCGCTGAGGGTGCCGCCCTGTCTCTGGTAGTACGACCGCTTCACATACTTCTTGTGCTCTACCCACTCGGCGCTGCCCCTGACCAGCGGCCTCGGCGCGGCGCGGGGGGCCGGATGGGGGCTCGTCCCAGCCCGGCGGCGGGCCCGCGAGGGCGGGAGGCGCCGGCGCCGTCTGCTTGCCGCGGAGGCGCCGGCGTTTGCCACCGTGGGCGGCGACGCTCACCGAGTCCCAGCACGACCCAGTGGCGGCCACGCCTCCTGCTGTGGAGCCGGCGGCTGTGCTGCGGAGCCAGCTGCCCAGGCTCGCCGCCTCCTCCTGCTCTGCCTCATGAGCCTCCTCCTGCTGCTCTTTGCCTCTCTCCTCCTCGTCCTCCTCCTCGCCTCTTCTGCCCTTATCCTCGTCCTCCTCTTTGTCTTCCTCTTTTCCTTCGGCTTCAGCTTGTGCCTCTGCCTCCTCCTCCTCAGAGTCGCTGCCTGGCTGCAGCCATCCTGCCACCTCCTCGTCCTCCTCGTCTTCTCCGTGGCCTGCACCTCGGAGCAGCTGCGTCGCGAAGTCCTCCTCCGGGGGGTCGGCCCACTCCAGCGGCCACTCCTTCTGCCCGTCTTTCAAGTGCAGGGCGACGTAGTGCTCGTCCTTGAGGGCCACTGGAATTGGCGCACGGCCCATTGCTTTAGACCGTTTCTTCTCTATGGCGGCGTTGCCCGCCCCCTCGGGTGGACTGATCACCCAGCCCTTCACCCATTTGCCTTGGCGCCAGTAGAATACAACAAGGCGTCTTTCAAGCCGCAAGGCCAGCACCGCCGCCGTATGCTCACATGCGTAGCGGCCTTCCCGGGCAGTTGCGTCCACCCACTCCTGGTAGGTGGCGGGGATGGGCCCACCTTCCCAGCGAACCGGCGCGTTGGGATCCGCCACCCAGACGCCCTTGAACAAGCTGTGCTTGCGGATGAGGCCCGTGGTCTCTGCCCGGATCTTCTTGCCCAGAGACGCGATGTTCTTTTCGATGTCTTCCTTTTTCCGGCCCTCCAGGGCCGCAGCAGAGGAAGCCGCGGCGCGGCGCAGGCAGTCGCCCTTCCCGCCCAGATCCCAGCCCTGGTAGCCGTAGACGTCGATGCATTTCGTATTCTTTGCTTGGCCGCCTTGCTCACCCGGCCTCTTCTCACCCACTTCAGGTGGAGTGGTTTTTTCCTCTGCCTTCTCCTCTGCCTTCCCTGCTACCGGCGTCTCCTCCTTCATGGCTTCGCCCTCTTCCTCCTCCTCCTCCTCCTCCTCCTCCTCAGCTGCTGCTTTCGCCCACGGCTTCGCTGCGTCCGCCTTGGCCTTGCGCTCCTTTTCCTGCTCGTGGAGGTCTTGCCTGACGACGCTGGGCCGCGGGTTGATCATCTTCGTGGTCATGCCCTTCTGCTGCCAGGTGTCGCGCACCACCGTGATGGTGTGGTTGTGGATCTGCCACGCACTGTAGTCCCGAACTTCAGCGGGAGCTTTCATGCGGAATATCCATCCTTTATTCCTGAAGCGGGGACGTATCAAGGATACTTCAGTCCAATCGTTCTCCGTGAAGTACGTGCTCACGTCGTTGGCCCCCCCCAGCTAGCCAGAGTACCTGTGATTTCCCACGGCGCTGAACGATCTGGCCTGCGAGGCGCGGTGCCTGGAGGCTCTCGCCACCCAAGCTGCTGTTTGCCCCCCGCGGCGGAAAGCCAGGCCATGCTGAGTGCCACCGCGCCGCAGCAGTCTTTCCAGATATTCGATGTCTGTCTCACCATCTTCCCAAGGCTTCCAATCGACCGCTGCGCGGCCCGCTTGGCAAACAAGCCGCTCGGAAAATATACCTCCAATTCCTGATTGCCTCAGGAGGTCCAGAACCTTGTCCTCCTGCACCGTCGCGAAGCAGGAGCGGCAGATGTCGTCGCCCGCCTCGTGGAGACGATGCCCGTACGTGCGGATGATGCCGTCCGCCTTCCACAACGAGTGAAGCGATGTAACCGGGCTCGCCCTCCACGCCGAGTCGGTCATGTACTTCTTCACCATGCTGATGCGCATGACCGTCGTCTCCTTGGCAGGCGCGTCCTCCGCCGCCTTCGACCCCTTGGAGGCTTCGACCGTCTCTCCGGCGAGCTCCGGCGGAAGTCCGGCCGCAGCTACCGGGGCAACGTGCAGACTCTTGAGCGCATCTCCACGCCCTGCCTGTCCCTCCACGCGGAGCCACTTGAGCTGGCTCTTGACCCCGTCCACCTCCTTGGCAAAGACCACGCCGATCTTGTGAGTGATAGCGCAAGACCTCGCGAGGTCGGGGATCTCGTTTACCTGGCCCGGCTTGGCCACGATAGCCTTCACCGTGTTCGCCGCCTGCGCCGGGTCCTCGGCATCCAGCAGCGCTTCGAAGGCCTTGGGTCCCAGCAGCACCTGGCCTTTGGTCCAAGCCATCCTGCTCAGCCTCGGCGCCTCCTCCTCCTCATGCTTTCTTTCCTCCTTTCCTTGACCTCTGCCTCCTCTGGTTTCCTCCTCCTCTGTCTGTCCCTCCTTGCCTCTCCCTTTGCCTCTAGCCCAGCGCCCGCCTCTTGGCGCTCCTGGCTGCGCTGCTGGTGGCTTCTCCTCCTGCCTCCTGCTGTCGCCTTTCCCTTTGCCCGCGGCCTTGCCTCGGGGCTCCTGCTGCGCTTGGCTCCGGCCGGCTGCGCCTGCTTCTGCTTGGCCTGCGCGACCGTCTCGGTCAGCCCATTCACGAGCCTCTCCATGGTCCACTTTGCCTTGGCCGCGTCGTCCAGCATCTTGCGGAGCCGGGCGATGAGCTCGTCCAGGCCCTCCTGCTTCTGCTGCTGTCTGCGCGTCCTCCACCTCCCCCCCGGCCTCGCCGGCGTTGTCCCCGCTCCTGCACTACCCGCTTCGGAATAGCTCTGCATGAGGCCGCTCAGCGCCTTGAGGAACGTGTCCATCGAGTTCGACGGCGCCCCTCCGCCTCGCAGGGCTGGATGCCGCCAAAAATGCTGTACTGGCAGCTCCCTCGTTCCAAAATCCCCGTCTTCTCGAAAGTCACCCGGGCCTGTATGGTGATCCTCTCGTTGAAGAGCTGGTGAATTATGATGTGTACCTCCTGGCTCCTCCTCGTCGCCGATCTCCTCCGTAACCTTCCCGATGTCCTGGGTGTTCGTGTCGACGGCCCCGTGGTGGAGGAAAATGCCATTGGCATCCGTAGTGTCATTGACCTCAGTCATGTCCTCGGAGCCCGTACCTACGTCCAGCTGGTGGTCGAAAGCGCCATCGACATCCGCAGTGTCATCGACATCTGTCTTGCACTCGGAGCCCGTACTTACGTTCAGCTGGTGGTTGAAAGTGTCATCGACGTCCGCAGTGTCATCGACATGCTCCTCGATCTCCTGTTTGGTGTTCTTGGCCTCCGGGGCGCTGTAGATCTCCCACAGCGCGCCCTCCGGGCCATCCCACCCGCCGTCCTCGCAGTCGTGGAAATCCACCTCGGCGTACTCCCTACAACCATGGAGTCCCAGAGCCCCTGCTCCATGGACAGCTTGATCATGAGGATCTGCTTGATGATGGGCCTGGTCATCCATGCCCTTGGAGCGCCTCTTGAGCCGGCGCTTCCACTTGTGGACCTTCTTATGGGCTTTCCGCTCCGCCAGCGGCTTGACCTTGATGTACCGCAAGCTGCCCACAAACGTGGCCGTCTGCTCCAGGAGTGGCGCGCCCCGCCCACGACCAGGGCCTCCAGCGACATCCCGACCTTGCAGGGCACCGTGGTGACGACCACAGCGCCATCTTCTCCCCCTCCTTCTCCCTGAACTGTTTTACAGTTCCTCACCCTGCCCAGGACCCCGAGGGCAAAGATGAACATGAAGAGCAGGCCCGCCACCACTACGCGGAAGCACATGCGTTGGTGGCTGCAGTCGATGGGGCAGGGCGACGTGTGACGTGGTCGGGCACCCCTTGTTCTCCATGAGGCAACACTGCGCCTTCTTCGCCTCGTCCCAGGACTCCGGGGCACCCTCGCCGCAGTTGTTCTTTTCTCGGTGGTCGATGATGGGGTGAGAGAGGTAGGAGTTCGGATCCTTTCCCCTCAACTATGGGGCTGATAAGACACAGCCGCATCAAAAAGAAGAGTCTTGGCAATCGGCCGGCCGCACGCGAAGCTCACCACGCAGAGGCGCGGAGCGAGGCCAGCCGAAGAAATTGCCGCCAAAATCGCAGCCGGGCGGGAGCCCTTGGGGAGGACGGTCCAAACCCAGCGATTGGGAGTCAACATCGCTGGCCAGGAGAGCCAGCGGAAGCGTATGAAAGGGGCGCGCATGTGGCGCCAACTGAATTATGGGCAGCCCCCCACAGGCTGCCAGAAACATCCGAAGATGAGTCAGGCCGCGGAGCAGCACGCGGCGCATGCAAGTCCTGGCAAATCGGCCGGCCGCGCGCGATGCTCACCACGCAGCGGCGCGGAGCGAGGCCAGCCGAAAAATTGCCGCCGCAATCGCAGCCGGGCAGGAGTCCTGGGGAGGACGGTCCAACCCCAGCGATTGGGAGTCAACAGAGGTAGGAGTTCGGATCCTTTCCCCTCAGCAATGGGGCTGATAAAACTCAGCCGCATCAAAAAGAAGAGTCTTGGCAATCGGCCGGCCGCACGCGAAGCTCACCACGCAGAGGCGCGGAGCGAGGGCCCGCCGAACAAATTGCCGCCACAATCGCAGCCGGGCACGAGTCCTGGGGAGGACGGTCCAAACCTAGCGAATGGGAGTCAACATCGCTGGCCAGGAGAGCCAGCGGAAGCGTATGAAAGGGGCGCGCATGTGGCGCCAACTGGATTAGGGGCAGCCCCCCACAGGCTGCCAGAAACACCCGAAGATGAGTCAGGCCGCGGAGCAGCACGCGGCGCATGCAAGTCCTGGCATATCGGCTGGCCGCGCGCGATGCTCACCACGCAGAGGCGCGGAGCGAGGCCAGCCGAAAAAATTGCCGCCGCAATCGCAGCCGGGCAGGAGTCCTGGGGAGGACGGTCCAACCCCAGCGATTGGGAGTCAACAGCGCTGGCCAAGAGAGCCGGCGGAAGCGTATGAAGTGGCGCGCACGTGGCGCCAATTGAATTCAGAGCCGGACTGGACGAGGCGCCAATCCAAACAACCCTTGCCGAGGGCCCAGCGACATACCAACCCAGAGCCCCCACCCGCGACCGAGCCGCAGCCCCAACACAAGCCAACAGCAACATAGACCATCATGCCCAGGCCCGGTGCCAGCAATCATGCCCAGGCCTCCGGCGCCGAAGCGGAGGCCAGCAATCATGCCCAGACACACAAGCCAGCAATCAGGCATATGATGCCATCGGCGCGCAGGGCCGAAGGCCGGAAGCCCGGGAAGCCACGGGAGGGCACGCCGACGGGTACCCAACAAAGGACGCTCAGATCAGCTACCCGCCTCAGCCCGCGCCGGGGCAGCCTCCCCCAGGCTGCCAGAAACATCAAAAGATGAGTCAGGCCGCGGAGCAGCACGCGGCGCATGCAAGTCCTTGCCGCGGTAGCGGCTCTGCGGTATTTCTGTCATCTAAGCACATAGAATCTGGGCCTGTGGCCCCGGGGTGCTGTCCCCGCGCCGGTGAAGTCCGTGGAGCCAATGGTGTTGTCCACGAACGGCGCCCCCCGCAGGGGTTTCTCGGTGGTCGTGGGCGGCGGCGGAGGGGGCGGAGGTGGAGGCGGGGGCGGCGGGGGCGGCGGAGGCGGCGGGGGAGGCGCCTGCGTCGTCTTCTTGGTCGTGGTGGCGGGCGTGGTCGTGTCGGGTGGCGCCGTGCTTGGCGGAATAAACGGCGTGGTGGTCGTCGTCGTCGTGGTCGTGGTCGTGCTCCCCGGGGCGAGCGAGTACAGGAGCAGCGGGAGCAGCAGCAGTGACAGCAGCCCCGGGACGAGCATGCACAGGCAGCAATTGGGGGCCGCGGCCAGGCATGCGGAGCACCCCGAACTCGCCCGCGCCCGCCCCCACGTACCTGTACCCAGACCCCCGACGTCATGATTTTTTCATGACGCGACCCCCAGAGGTCCCGACCCCTTCCCTGGGACCGGTTTTTCATCCTGAGTCGTTTTTTGACGGTCCCGAGTCCCGGTAAGGGCCCCCAGAGGCCGAAAGTAGCGAAAAACCTCCCGTCGTGATTTTTTCATGACCCGAGGGGGTCGGGGTACGTCGTCTCCCGCGCGTAGTCACCCCCGGGGCCCACGTAGAACTCAGTGAGCCGCGCCGCCGCCCGCGCCTCCCGCCGCAGCCCGACCATCTCCGCCGCAGCCCGACGCCGCCGGCGGGGCCGCGGCCCCTGGCGGAGGTGACCCCCGCGCAGCAGGCCGTGCCACAGTCTGCGCCGGCGCCGTAGGAGGAGGAGGAGGAGCTTGAGGAGGAGGAGGAGGAGGAGGAGGAGGAGGGGAGCTTGAGGAGGAGGAGGAGGAGGAGCGCCGGAGCCCAGGCCCGAGCCGCCGTAGCCCAGGCCCGAGCGATGAAAGTGCGACATGGCGGGCTGGGCAGCAGGAGCCCCTTGCTTTTCTCAGCGCCCGGAAAGACCGGGGCACTCTTGGGATCGGGCCGGTGCCCACGTTCTTGAAGCAAGTGGCTGTGGAGGTTCTGTTCCTCCTGCCCCTCCCCCCCACACTGGACCCCTGGACCCCGACTGGGCTGCGCTCTTGTCAGGATCCGTTGTGCGGACACAGCTGTGGCGATGACGCCCCCCCCTCCACGACGTCTCAAAGTGGACGAAAAAACATCTCACATCACCCTCCTTTTCTTCTTATGTTTGGTTTGTTATTCTAAGATGTATTCTTGTCTGTTGTTTTTTACATGTTGTTCTTCTTCCTCTTCGTCCTACTCCGGAGACGACGGCGACGACGACGACTGCGGGGAGGCCGTCGCCTCCGAGGTCCTCTGCGGCCACAGCTCTCGGAGCGCCGAACGTGAGTTTCTGATCCTCGGGCCCGGGCATCGGCGGGACCAGGGCAGGGGCACGGAGGAGGAAATAGAGGAAAGATGACTAGATGCACATTCACCAGTTCTGGCCAGGCCAGGGTCGGTGCACGTGCACCGCGCTATCTCCGCCCGAGGGTGAGAAAGGGGGAAAGGCGGGAGTGGAGGAAAGGACACCAGGCGAGGGACGGAGCGGCAACTTGGGAACGGGGGCGGGGGAAGAGCAAGGGGGGGCCTCGAGGAGGAACAGGGGGGCTGGGGGGAACAGGGAGGGGGCGGGGGAGACAGAATTCCCCCGCGCGGCGACGCCCGGCAGCGACGCCACCCAAGAGGGGAGAACGGCACCCGATCGGCGTGGAGTGAGGCCGGGGCCTGACGCCGAATCGCCACTCCGTCACGTCCGCCGACGCTGGCGGCTGGCGCGTCAGGGCGCCGGCCGAAGCACATGACTACCATGCCCCCCTCGAGGGTGGGTGGTGGGTGAGAGAAAGACGAACTGCGACAAGGTCGCGTCCGACGCGCTAGGGCCAACGGGAGCGTCGCGCGTCGCCCCCCCCGCCCCCCCAGGGGTGGACCAAAGCTGCGCTACGGCAGGCAGAGGACGGCGCCCTGGGCGGACGCCCTGCCCCGAACTCGCCGCTGTGGGTAGGCAGGGCGCCGCAGGACATCACCGGGCTCTTGACATCCCGCGGCCAGGCGGCAGAATGGAGACATTGCGGCCGTGCTCGGAGAGGGGGCCTGAAACAGGGGCCAGTTCGGAAGTATGTTGGAGGGCAGATCATGGAGAGACGCACAGGGGCCGATCGGGAAAACTGCGCATGGCCTGGGAAAAAAACGCTCAAGGGCCGATCGGGGAAAGATGAGCTCGGCTCATGCAAGAGGGCCGATCGGAGAGAGAATGCACGAGGGCCGGTCGTGGAATAATGCAAGAGTGGTCGAACTGGTATGCAAGTAGTTTTGCTTGCAGGGACAGAGAGAGACGAGGGAAGACAAAGAGAGAGAGGGATAGAGAGAGAGAGAGAGCAACAAACCACATCAAACGAATACTCAGAGAGAGAGGGCGATATCGATATATATCTACATATATATATATACATATACATGTATTTGTATGCACGTAAATACAGACACGTTTGTGTGTATATATATATGTATGTTTGTATTGCTGTATGCATGTACGTATGTCTATATGCTTGTGCGTATGTGCACATGCATGTATGTCTACGTGCATGTGTGTATGTATGCATGTATGTATGCATGTATGCGTGCATGTGTGTATGCATGTGTACGTTTTTGTGTGTGCGTATGTATGCATGCATGTACGCATGCATGTTTTGCATGTTTGCACGTATGCGTGTATACGTGTATGGATATATGTAGGTAGACACGTATGTGTACACATTTATGTGTGCAAATACTACACACATGTGCATGAAGAGATGACGTACCACGTACACTGTATGTATGTGTCTACTCGAAACACGTGCGCGCTTCGCGCGCGCTGAGGCTCTAGCAAACTCTAGTAGTAGCCGAAAGCGTTTGGCATCGGAAGACACACCTTGCCGCACGGATCGTGCCCCTCAGGGATCTCCACCTGCGGCTCGAGAGACAGGCTTGGCTTAGCGCCCGCCCGCCCATTTCGGCACACCCCTCACAGGGATCGCGCCCAACAGGGAGCTCCATCTACGTCCCCAGAGACAAGCTTCGCATAGTGACACGCCCATTTCACGGATCGTGCCCCGCAAGTACAAGCAAATCATTGCATGTGCGGAACCAGAGGGAAGCTTCATCGCGTCGCCCCGCTCACTCCGGCACACCTCTCACACGGATCGTGGCCCGCAAAGAGATCCACGGACGGTCCCAGAGACAAGGTTCGCATCCCGCCTCCCCGCATACTTCGGCACACCTCTCACACGGATCGTGGATCACAGGGATCTTCACCTACAGCTCCAGGGCAGGGTTCGCACTGCGCCCCCCCCTGGCTATTGCGACACACCCCGTCACGCGGATCGTGCCTACAAGGAGCACCACCTAAAGTCTCACAGACAACGTTCGTACAACGCCCCCCCGCCCATGTCGGCACACCCGTCATGCGAATCACAGAGGGAGCTCAACCTATGGCACCAGTGTGCAGCTTCGCATGGCGTCCCCCGCCCACTTCGGAACATGCCTCGCACGGGTCGTGAACGGAGGAGGTCCACCTGCGGCCTCAGTGGGCGTGTCTGCGCAGGGGCATCCGAATTATTCGGCACACCCTTCACGTGGATCGTGCCCCACTGGGAGTTCAGCGCGCCCGTGCACGCGTGCTCCGCAGCAGCCATCACTCCGCACTGCCCGGCGGCGCGCAGCGTGCGAAGAGAGACCCGCGCACTGCGCTACGCATGACCGCATAGAGATGGGTCCGTCGCCAAACCAAGTGTCTGCTTGTCCATGGCCTCTGGCCCATACCGCCACTGTGCCTGAGTTTTTGAAGGGGCCTTGGGACACACAAATAAATACACACAAATAGAATGATTCCCCATATTTTCCCATATTGTCTGGATTTTTGTCTTCCCGCCCAATTCCCATATTTTCATGTCTATTTTCCTGGCGCTCGAGGATTAATTGTGTCTGTGTGTTTCTTTCCCTCCTGAGTTTTGGGCCAGAGGTGTATCGACTACCTGCAACTCGGGGTCTCTTGGCAGGCTCCTCGGGCGCCCCGTGGAGGGAGGCTTGAGGCGTCCTGTGGCGTCAAGAGGGCCCCGTGGGGGCTCGGGGCCCTCGGGGACTTCTTGGGTGCCTGCTGCGGCCTGGGCGGCCCACTCGTGTCGGAGGGCTCGAAACGTTAGCTGGAGGTCCCCTTCTTGGACTCCCCCTGAAGCCCTCTTGGGCCGTCTTGGGCACCCCGTGGACCGTCTTGGCGTTCTCTTGTGCCGTCCTTGGGCCCTCTTGGAGGCCTCTTGGGCCGTCTTGGGGCGCTATTGAAACCAAGAGTGCGAATATGCTAAGAGTAAACGTTCGCCCTCGGGATGGCAACAATTTTGACCACCTGGGGCCCTCTCGGGGCGCATCTTGGAGCCTTCTTTGGACGACTTCGGGGCCTCTTGAGCAAACCTCTTCGCGCAGCTTCGGCCCTGTCGGGCCGCTCTGATCGCTCTGTCATAGCCTCCAGAACTGTCTTGAGCGGCAAGGGTGGGCCCCGGAGGCCCCGACGGGATCAAAAAATATGGTGGGGGGGAGTCCAAGAGGGTATCCCGGTCCCAGCCCAGGCCTTGGGCCCACCGAGCCCCAGACTTCCCCAATCAGTGCTAAAGGGGTCCTGGCCGATATTCGAAGACTTGGCGATGATTCCCGGCCGATTTCGGTGGGCGGCGGGGTTCCCGGGTTCCTGGTTCCGGGTTCCTGGGTTTCCAGGTTCCCGGGTTCGTGGTCGATCGCGCCGTATCGATCGGTCCCTCCATCGATCTCATCCCCGACCTCTCTATCGATCTCACTATCGATCTCACGATCGAGCTCACTATCGATCTCATAATCGATCACACGATAGAACGCACGAACGATATTACGATCGATCTCGCTATCGACCTCACTGAATCAACTCCACCATCAATCTCACGATCGACCTTCCTATCGTCCTCACTATCGATCCCACGATCGATCTCGCTATCGATCGCCAAATCGATCTCACTGCTCGTATCACTAAAGTGGTCTGGTGAAACATCTTCCCCGATCAGTGCTTGCACCGAAGGGGTCCTTGCGGATGTTGACAGATCTGGCCAAAGTCCCCTGCCGATGTCGGCGGGCGGAGACACCTGTGACATGACATGACATCTTGCCACGAGAGATCTTGGGGCACATTCCTCGTCGACATTCAAGGGGCCCGAGGTGTAAAATCACCCCAGAGCCCCCGTGGCTCCCTGGAGCGCCTGTGCCGTCTCGGATCCGTGCCCGCCGTGCGCCCTCCTGGCCCATGCGCCGGGAGGGTCTCTTCACCCTCCGGAACCATGGGGAAAACAGACAGGTCCGCCCTCCTCTCCCTCCTCCTCCTCCTCCTCCTCCTCCTCCTCCTCCTCCTCCTCTCCTCCTCCTCCTCCTCCTCCTCCTCTTCCTCCTCCCCCTCCCTCCCCCCCTCCCCCTCCTCCTCCTCCTCCTCCTCCTCCTCCTCCTCCTCCTCCTTGTCCTCCTCCTCCTCCTCCTCCTTCTCCGCAGCCTCGCGGGCCGAGCCTCTGGGCCGCGACCCCGCGGACATCGGGCTGCTCGTTCACGAAGGCCCCGCGCGGAGCGCATCCGTGCGACCGCACATCCGCCGGATCGCGCCGAGTCCGGACCGCCAGGGCGTGCTTCGGTTTTGTGTTCCTGTCGTGCGTGCGAGGCGAAGCTGCGTGGGAGGACGAGTGGAATGAGCTCGCCGTTGCTAGGGCGAACGAAAAGCCAAATGATTCTCCGCCCGGCTGGCCTGCGGTGGCCCAGGGGTGTCCCGCCGGCTGGCTGGCGGTGGCTTGGGGGTGTTCCGATGATGTTCCGATGGTGTCCCGACGGTGTCCCGATGGTGTCCCGACAGTGTCCCGAGAATGTCCCGATGGTGTCCCGATGGTGTCCGGATGGTGTTCCGATGGTGTCCTGATACTGTCCCGATGGTGTCCCGATGGTGTGCCGGTGGTGTTCGGATAGTGCCATTTTGTGGCGCCACCACCTCGGAGGAGGGGCGCCCACGAGAATTGCCGAAGTGGTGGTGGCTCTCCCCGCTGGGCCCGGCTCGCAGCCCGCAGAAGCCGTTGGCGTCCGGCACGGCCTCGGCCTACTGCATGGCCTGCCCCTGCCCTTCCGCCGCGCCCGTGTGGTTGGTGACAACACAGCGGCGGTCAGGTACGGCGCTGGCACAGGCCGGTATCGGCGCTTGGGCCTCCAGGCCCAACTCGAAGAGGGGTTGGCGCCTCTTGCGGCCGAAGGCTGGGTCCTCGAGTTCCAGGCCGTTCGCCGCCGGCTCAATGGGGGAGCCGTTGCCCTCGCCACGGAAGGCGTCGA